CAAAAAAAAAAAAACAACAAAATTTGGCGAACTTTAAAAAGGACTTTGAAAAGTTGACTTTTGTTGTTGCAACTTACAGGTCTTTCCGTTACAAAAGATACCTGTCTTACTAAAGACTTTGTTTTTTTTGCATAAATTTTTTGTTCAAGTAAAATTAGAAGGCTTAAAAAATACTACTATTTTTTTTTCTATTTGTTTGTTATTCTTTTTTTTCCCCCAAATTGATGATAAGATTAAGAAAGCAGCAAAATAGCTATAATTTTAACTGACAACGTTTGTTTGGTGTACTGTTCAACTATAAACTTGTTTCTTTCATTTTTTTTTTTTTGCAGAGAGAAATGGAGAGAATAGGAAATGAGAAAAAGAAAAGGCAGAAATTTTTGAGAAAAAAAAAATAGTTCAAATAATTTTATCAAAAAAAAAAAATTAGCAACAGCAGCGGTAACAATCCCAATGGATAGGATAGTTAACAAGGAGAAAAAATAGAAAAAACCACTGTTTTAATGATACTTTAATATATAAAAAATAATTTTTTGTGATTAAATACGACCAATAAATAGAGCAAAAACAGAAGAAACTTTGCAAAGTTACAAACTATTACCAAAGATGATTATTGTACCTGAAAATCAGACACTGACAACTGTGTTGTGGTTGAAATTATTGATGACAGTGTTGTTGTAACTGTATCCATTTGATTATATATACACCGTCAACCAAAGTTGCCAATTCACACTCAATCAATCGTTCCTCGCTTCCAATCCCAAACTGTTGCTTTAAAAAGGAACTTTTGAAAAATTATGCTTGAAACACACACATACACAGACAGAATTGACCTCAAAAAGTCAGCTTTTATAAGGCATATGAAACAAGATTTTTTTTGTACCTGAAATCGTGAGTTGAAAAGAAAAGAAAAAGAAAATGAAAAAAAAAATCGTGAGTTGAAAAGAAAAAAAAAACTGATTGCATTGATTCATTAAATAATCTGTCGTCAACATCACCGCCAACAGTATAGCACAGTATGTATCAACGCAGGAACTAACAACAACAGTTTGAAGTATTGTAATAGTATTTAATGTCAGTATTACTGTCTACCAAAAAAAACAAAATTACTTTTAAAAAAAAGTGACAAAGAAAAAACAGTAAAGTATTGCAAAAACAGTTCTTTTTGCTTATAAAAAGCAGTAAGATTTGCTAAGACAAAGACAAAAAAAAAAAACTCATGAGAAACCAGTTTCTCGGAATGATATAACAACTGTACAGATGTATAGCGCAGGCAAAAAAAAACCTCTTCAGTCTTGACCCGTCTTTCTTCTCCTCCTTCTTCTCCTCCTTCTTCTCCTCCTTCTCCTTCTCCTTCTCCTTTTCCTTCTCCTTTTCTTCTTCTTCTTTTTTTCAAATCTTCTTTAGTACCCAGTAAACCAGAAAATTGATAGGGTATTGCTTTAGTGAAGACATGTATCAATGAGCAAAATAATGATGTTGAGAGGAAAAAAAAAGAAAAACAGAAAACCACTAAATGAATGTTTAGTTTCACTGAAAAAAAAAAAAAACAATTTCCGTTTATCATTACACCGACATTGATCAATAATAGAGGAAAAAAAAAAAAAAGAAAAGGAGAAAAGCACTATTATTTATAAAACTTATCCAAAAAAACACACTCACACACACACACAAATAACATAATGACATTATTAAAACTGTTGTTGTCAAAAGTCGTTGCCATTTATTTGTACACTGATTATTTTCTATCGTCAACGTTGTTGTTGTTGTTGTCGTCGTCGTCGCTATTATTGCCCCTTTTCAGTTTCTTTATTTACTTTATTCATTTAATCTTTTCTTTGTTTTTTTTTTTTGTTTTCTTTTTTTTTTTTAAATTATTCTACGCTATCACATTTATAGGCTTTGCTAAACTACTTCAGAATGATTGCTTAGTTGAACAATGATCAAGCATTAAAATATACTAATTGCCTCAGCCTCATCTTTGGCTTTTTCTGCTTTTTCTGTTGATTGCTCAAAGATTCTAATAATCTTCACGTTTTTTTCTATAGAATTTTTCCATGTGATATTTAACCACCAACAAAAAACAAAAATAATTTAAAATTTCTATTCCTACTAAACAATAATCCCTATTGTCAAAAAAGTTTTTTTTTTTAGCTGTCAAAAATGAAACCGTTTAACCAACAAACATCTTTATAACTGTCATCAAAAATAGCATTTTCGGAAGTTGATCTTTATCCCTCAACAAACCAACACATTTTCATAGATTTTCCATTTTCTTTTCCTTTTCATTCGCTATCTGTAGTTTTGAAAAATTTTTTTCCCATTAAATAAACAAGCAATTTAGTCTCAGCAGTTGTACCCGACGAGACGAGACTAAATCGATGTTCGACATAATAATATGGTAAAAAATGAAAACAAAATAAAACAAAAATAATATTTATTCTCTTTCCCCCCCCAGTAAATTGTATAACAGATGCGAAAAATAAAGAAATGCCAAAATTGTAGAATACAGTAAAAGATTGATATGAGCCAAAATTGTGAAATCAACGAGGTATATATATATAATCATTAGGTATAGTCGAAATAGTTTGCTTCAATGGAAAAAGGAAAAGGATGAAATCGAAAAAAAAAAATCAAATAAGGAAGCAGTCAAAATATTTAACTATTCAAATATCAACACTTTTCAGTTTTATTTTTTACTTTCTCAACGCTTTTTTTTTTTTCTGCATTTTATATTTTTATCTCAGCAATTTAAAGATAGTTCCTCAAACTCACAAATTTTTTTCCATCAATTTTTCTTATGCACAATAGAAAAAAAGAAACAGAAAACATGAAAGGTTTTTCTTTCTCAGTTGTTAATCCCTTTCTTTTAAGCGGACCAATACCAAAATAAGAGAAAAAACAGGGTTGAAAGCAACGAGGAGCTTTATAGAAGATAAAACAAAAAGAAGCTCTACATTTTATTGTTATATTTTATAATCAAAAAAAAGAAAAAGAAAAATTCCAGAATAATATACATTTATAAATCCTCTTTTAAAAGCGTTCAAAAAATATGCATGTTTTTAAGAGCCAAAAACAGAGACAAAAATGAAAACAAAAAAACGAGTTGTTGTATTCTAAAACTGGGTTGTAAAGTTGGCAATAATAAAGCTAAAAACGATACAGCTAGAAAAAAAAAAAAAAAGAAAGAACTAACTGAAAAAAAAACTGAGAAAATTCTGGAATTTTATAATCTATTTTTTTTTTTTTTTGTATATACTTTCAACAGATAATGAGCGGATTAGTAAATCGATGTCGTTCAACTGCTTTACAGCATTGGCACCACCAACTACGTCAGTTATCCTCCACTTATTGCCAATGCTACCAAAACTGATTATCCTATATCCAATGGCCTAAGGTTAGTCCAGTTAACCTCTTCAATAAAAATTAAGCAAACAAAGCAATACAAAGAAAAAAATTAGTTCCAAAATTTATGAAGAAGAGGATATAAAATGAAATGAAAGAGATAACAGCAATAACAAAAGAGAAGAAAATAAATACTAATCTGTTTCATCCATATTTTTACTGAATAATT